CAATAAAGCTGACAGCAATTCAACTCGCTCTACACAACCCATAGCTGGCCAGCTGAATTGTTCTTGAGCCTCCACTGACTTTAATGGCAACCAGACACACAGCAAGCATGTAGCTGTCTAAATTTAAGTATCTTAATTTTATCCAAAGACACAAAATTCAGTAATTTAAAAAGTTAAGATTCAAACACTAATACTTTCTGTTACCTCCTTATGGCTATTAATTCACCTCAATTCTCTTTTTTACATACATTTTTAACCTGATGTAGTCTTACAGAAAATTATAAAACTGAAAAACAATTTAATCATAGGAATTCAAGGAACAATATGAGCTAATTATCTGTGTGTAAACTGTAAAGCTGAATTTTCCTGCTGCGCATGCATGTATAAACTAACTCTCTGTGCTTTAGGTATTGTACCTATAGATGAATTTGCCCACTTGGCACTGAAGGTGCTTGAGACACCTTAAATAAGTAGGTATGTTTTATCACAATTTTGACTTTTGATTGGAAGGCAAAAAAATATGTGGCAATTTTTGTTTGAATAAGACCATATTCCTCCTCCTGCCTCCACAGGAATTTTCCCCAAAAGTTACAATGTGTTCAGTATCTACCTCTTTCCTAAAATCATAATATTTTACTGCTGTCTGTCAGCAAGGGTGTATGCACAATGTGTGGCCATTGTATACGTATGGCTCTTGGAAATCATTTGTTCTCATGCAGGTGATTTTAACTAAACAACACTGGGTTCCTACTGCTGTTTTAATAAGCAATAAATCCCTTAGCATTGGAAGTGAAATTTTAAAGCACAAGAATGACATCAAGGAACATTACATTTTATTTTTATTGGAGACTGCGTTTTCCTAAGAGATGGAGAACTTGGGGTTAGATCAGAGTTCAAGTAGCCTCTAAGTCTAGACTTTGCCCAGACTTCTCACATGATTTTAAACAAATCAACTAACACAACGGCACCTCATTCCCACTGCTCTAAAATTGAAATAATATTTCCATTGATATTCTGAACTGTTTCATTTGGGTTATACACGTCTGAGACGGAAATTAATCTGTGTGTATGAGCGCTTAGCAAATCAAGTCTTAATATAAATTAGTATTCAAAGTGCTACTTGATAATAATTACATTATACTTAATAAAAGGACAATACTACAGGAGGGATCCATTCTGTTATAGTGATGAATGAAGGTGCACTGGTGGTGTATGCATTACTCCATTTTAAAGACATTCAAAAGTGAGAAGGAAAATGTTTAGTTTGGTGGTAATTCACCAGAGTATACTGAATTATAGCAAGAAGAAACTAGCATTAAAACCCCCCTACCTTTTAAGGGGAAAAAACAGCTTATCATCAATGTAACACTGTAATTCTTTTTTTTTTTTCTTTTGCTATTTGAAATGTTTCACCATTTGAAACAGAACATTTTCCATTATTCTTCAATTTGCCTTCAATGTTCAGATATGATTCATTTTGTCTCTCTGCACTGGGAATATCAGCCTGCTTTCTGAGATATATTTTAAACATTTCCATTCAATTAACTGAAAACAAAAAAATTACAGTTATCGCTGTTTTTCCTACGGTTTTAGCCAGTTCCCAAAGGCAGATCTCTCTCTTTACTGATCCTGTGATGCCATCTGGTGGCATTTGGGGAAAAATAAACTCAAATTTCACTCGTCCATGGGGGTCAAGGCTTATGGATAATATTTCATAGCGTCTCTGGGGGGCTGTAGGCTTGGACCCCTCTCGATCACATTATTTGGGGAAAAATAAACTCAAATTTCACTCATCCATGGGGGTCAAGGCTTCTGGATAATATTTCATAGCGTCTCTGGAGGGCTGTAGGCTTGGACCCCTCTCGATCACATACCAGCAACCAGGCAGAAAGAGAGGCAGAGAGTTTATGGGATTTTTCCCAAGCCTTGTGGGCTGATTCTGGGATTACGGATACATCCAAGGTGTCACCCAAAGGCAATGCATCTTCCTAGCTTTGTTTGGTCTCATTCATGGATTTGTAGTGTATTTAAGATATTTTAATCAGTATCCCCCCTCAAAGGTGAGCCTACACATCTCTCAACTAATCAACAGTTTGCCATAGTCACAGCACACGCATGAAGTACGAAAGTGCTATGATGCTCCTATTCCACGTGGGAGATCAAAGCTTTAAAAAAATAAAGCACCTTGCCTATAGTTGCATAGAAGGAACACAGCAAAATCAGACAATTAAATCCAGATCTTCAAAGTTTAAATCACTTGCTATGCTTCCTGTCTGAAAGAAATTTAACCGAGCCCGAGTAAATTAGAAATACTAGCTTTCAGGGTATTATTTGTCCTTGGTAAATCAAATTTGTCATATTTTGAGAAACAAATGGGAAAGCTATTTCTGTAGGGAACTAAGTGTTTCTGAGGGATGAGACAAGAAAGAACAAACAGAGAAAAACAGACCTACTATGTGCAGCCCTTATAAAATTAAGCTGTCTGGGACTCTTCACCAGACAATGCTCTAAGATTAATCAGGTCTAAAAGTAGCCTGCACATGAAATTAGTTTCATTTGAATAAGGAAAAATGGATACTTAATAGTAATTTGTGACTAAATAAGTCAGCAGTGCCTGACTTGGCAATTGCCTGGGGATAAGCATGCAGTCTCATTTAGTAATAATTTCCAATCCTCTCTGCTCAGTGAACAAATAAACTACTCTTGCATGATAAGTAAATGTTGTGGCAATGCTGGTAACTTTAATTAGAACTTTTGGAAAACATTGCTACAAAACACACAAAACCAGAGTTAAAAATTCAATTGTGGCAGTATTCTACAGTGCTAAATATACCCTTACTTAAAAATAAAGGAAAATGGACTTTTAAATTTATATCTGAGCTGCTGGATTTCTGAATCGTATGGACTGTGATAGTGCTCTTCAGTCAGCCTTATTTTGCTGCATTTACCCAAAGAAAAATAAAATGCATAATTGCCCTGAAGAAATTTCCATTTCTATTCTTCAAATTTCTTCTCTGTTTCTTCTTGGCACAGGTGTTTGTGTTCCTTATCTTTTCATGTTGATAACCTTGTAAGAGTCTGTTTTGGTTTTCTTACAGTTTTCTACAAACTTTCTACTCAGGGATCTTTTACGGCACCTAAACACCTTTTACTTGCCCTCTCTCAGTTTTTTTTTAAAGCATTTTTAAGGAACAGGTCTAGATAAAATACATTTTAATTTCAGGTTGCTGCATCCCTTTGGTGTTAACAAGCCAGATTTTCATATATCACAAAGCAGACCCAGCCACCTTTTCATACCAAAACTTTGTCAGGTGGAAGGTAAATTCACTTTTAATAGAATAGGGTAGTGGCCAAGAAAGTCCAAAGCAATGTAGGAAAACGAGTTCCATCTTAATCATAGAATCATAGAATGGTTTGGGTTGGAAGGGACCTTAAAGACCACCCAGTTCCAACCCCCCTGCCATCAGCAGGGACACCTTCCACTAGACCAGGTTGCTCAAAGCCTCATCCAGTCTGGCCTTCAACACTTCCAGGGAGGAGCAGCCACAGCTTCTCTGGGCAACCTGTTCCAGTGTCTGACCACCCTCACAGTGAAGAACTTCTTCCTAATATGTAATCTAAACCTCCCCTCTTTCAGTTTAAACCCATTTCCTCTTGTTTTGTCATTAACTGCCCTTATGAAAAGTCCCTCCCCAGCCTTCCTGGAGCCCCTTCAGGTACTGGAAGGCCGCTATAAGATCTCCCCGGAGCTTTCTCTTCTCCAGGCTGAACAGCCCCAACTCTCTCAGCCTGTCCTCATAGGAGAGGTGCTCCAGCCCTTGCATCATCCTTGTGGCCTCCTCTGGACTTGTTCTAACTGGTCCATGTCTTGTGTTGGGGGCTCCAGAACTGGACACAGTACTCCAGGTGGGGCCTTACAAGAGTAGAGTAGAAGGGGATCATCTTCCTCATGAAGAGATTTAAACACTGGCCAGAAAAGTGACACGTAACCATGCCACAAACCACCCAGGCTACAGCCATCTTCTGCCCCTGCTGCTCACCAAAGCGCAGCCAAAGATGCAAGGTTCACTGGGACAGACAGACAGCACGACAGTGAGAGTGACACTGCAGCCTGGTGGGTCCATCACTCATCTGGGATTAATAATTCCTGTGTTTCAGCTCTTTGGCTTAAGGCTATTTATGTACTTTGCTTGAAACAGCCACAACTGTTAACAATTTGGGCTAGTTTCTTTTTTTCTGTAAAACAGCATAATGTGAACGGATATTTATCTACATTTTCAAAGCTTTCATTGTCATTCAAGATCTTTCACATTCAGTCAGATGTCCTGTTACTGGACAGAGCCTGAAACATAAATGTTCTGTTTATTTAAATGCGTGCTATCAATACATACTTGAAAGAAAAATTAAAAAGATGTTTTTGAGACTAAGTATGCAAAATATAACCTCGGGCTACAAAGCCTTTTCTCCTCTAAAATTTGAAAATGAATTTCAGAGTGATCATCAAATTCATTAGAGGCATAGAGCTAATTAACATAACCTAATTAATCTCCTTCTTGTATTGGGCCATTTGATAAGCAGTTCAGTGCACACTAGATGGCACCCGCAGTCTAGGTGATTTCATCCTACTGCTTTTTCTCCTCACAGGAAAGCTGAAATTAAAAATATCTTTAGACTCAGTAGTGCATTTTGGACAAAACAGATTGGATGATGGGCTAAAGTGGGAGATGCTGAGGTCTGCACTGTGTTTAGATCTTCTCTGCAGTGTTGTCATACTGTAGCATTAAGCAGAGAAAAATCTCACTCTGAGCTAAGTGCAGGTGACACCATTAACAAATGTAATAAAACCCAAGAGCAAATAAACAAAATATTCAGTGATAAACTGTTTCTAGCTTGGTTTTCACAACACGAAAACCAAAAAGATGTCTTTGCATGTTCCTTGCAGTATAGATAAAAAACCAAGTTTAAGTAGTTGCCCAGCAAAGCCCAACACAAATACTTACAGACAAAATTTGATCTCCTCTCTGCAGTTCTCCGCTGAGATCCGCAGGCCCGCCTGCTAGGATGAACGACACGAAAATGCCTTCCCCATCTTCTCCTCCCACAATGTTAAAACCAAGTCCTGTGGAGCCCTTGTGCAGGATGATTTTTCGAGGTTCTCTGTGTAGAAACAAAATGATAATGTTTATCCATTCAACACTCTTAGAGTGTCCGCATCTCTCAAGGTATCTCAAGCATACTATATTTTGCTTAAGACACAATGGCCTATTATTGCCTAAAGAAGCCATTTAACAAATGAGGTAAATCTGTTAATTAGAGAACAGACGAAGTAGAAATTAACCAGCATTCTTTTTTTTTTTTTTTTTTTTTTTTCCCTCATGGCTGAATCCAAACATCTCTATTCATTTCAGCTCACTGGAGTCATCTTCACTAAGTTAAGTGATAGATTTATTAAAAGAAAAAACAAAACACTGAAGATATTTTATAATCTAATTTATAACAATACAGTATATAGAGGTAGAATCAATCTTTAGATGGCATCTTTTTTTATTTTAAGTTCTAGTCTTGCTTTTTAAACAAATGATCAAAGAAAAAAATCAAAACTCTAGGCAAAGTAATGGCAAGTGTGTTTGATCCTGACAGATTTGGAGCACATAACATTTGTAAGATCAAGTTTAGAGCAGAATCTCAAGAAAAACTCCAGTTTGACATCTCATAAAGCACTTCCCATCTGTAAATTGAAAATATACCACAAAGGATGTAAACATAATAATATGCATTTTACTAGTGGGAAAACTTATGTCCAGAAAGAGATGACTTTCCTAAGCTATCAAGGTAGCATCCTTGAGAAAGTGTCCCTGGTATTCCAGTTCCCAAAGTCTACTCTCCATACCAGGAGTCTCCCTTGGATACACAAGCCCACACAAGCATATATAGATACACACACATCATATTTACTGATACTTACCCAATTCCAAACCCCTCTAACAATTTACTTTTCAGAAAAAGTGTAAACGCTGTTATTTTAGTATGTGCAAAACTTAAGCCTGGCCCTGCAAATGCTCACAAACTCCTTGCAGAGAAATAGGATGTTCTTCTAATTATCAGTTTTTACAAATAAAAGTTACCAGCAAAGTGACGATTATAAACACACACACAAACATCTACAGAAACACGCTCCAGAATGCTTCCTGTAAAAGCGATCCAGTATTTCCTGTGTACTGTATAACAGTTCTAGACCACATGGATGGCTTTTGCATTTCAATTTTGTTTTTAAAGAAAGAAAAAAGAAAGGTAAAGGGAGAAATTATGCATTGGGGGATGTCTTATTTGATGTGAGTTAAGCCTTATGGCCATATGCACAGGGATTTAATGTTTACACAGTGATTCCAAAATCAGTAGATCTTTGCCCACTGTTAATGTTCAAACAGTATCCTCAGCTTGATCATGATCTTTAAATAACATTTAAACTGTCTGAACCTAAAGCTTAATATTATTGAAAGAAAAAACTAAAGCAAATTTTAAATAATATTTTTAAAGGTGATTGGAGCCTTTAGTGAAAGTATTAGTGTTACTCCACCTGGCCTAATAACCTTTTCTTAACAAGTACAGTCAGAAAAAAACCTTTTAAAAATAGAGCTGTGAAAAAAAGACATGTTGTCTTGAGTTTGTATATTCTTGAAGTACTTTTAACCAATCAGAAAATAAAGGGGGTTTTCTTTTCCATTGTTGCTGTTGATTTGCCTTGTAGCAATACTTTTAGCACCTTCTTAAATAATGTGCAGATTAGACATAATGTAATCCAGATCTAAGAAGTCTAAATGGGTTTTTTAGGAAGGGTGGCCTGGGGTTGGAGCAAAACTAGGACAGTGAGCTGGAAGCATGGATTCCTACCCCCATACGCTGCTGAGTGATCTTGGCAGGTAATTTGTTCTTCCAGCTTCAGTTTCCTCATCCACAAACTGATACGGTGACACCTGACGTCTTTGAGTCCTACACATCAAAAATAATTTGCAAGAGTTGAGCTACTGCCATTATGATTTACCTGAGTATTGAGGAAAAAGAGGCAGTAAAGTCAGACAAATACATTTGCATGCTCTACTGGGGAGAGATCAGAAGAGCTCTTGTTCAAAATGAAACTGTGTATTTCCACATATGACAGGCAGCTGGGATCATAAAGTTGAAAGCCAGCACTATGGGCAGAACTAGGTCAATACAACTGGCTAGCTACTGAATAGGAAGCTGTGTAGCTCAACAAAAAGTTGGCCCAGTTATTAATCCCTGTCTCTGATCAAGTCAGCAGATTTATGCCTAAAATGCTGTCAGTGCTGTTTTGTAATTTTGGCCTTTTGACAGCAAAATTCACATTCCGCTCCTGGATGGTTACGTTCAGAGGAAGCTCAGATGATAATGGGGAAATGTTAGAAGCTGTGATTAGAACACAGCAGGTTTTGGCTCCTGCTCTTTAGCCTAATCAGGTCATTTTGGTCTTGACTCAAATTTGTCTGTATAGAGACCGACCAACCATAACATGTCTTCATATTTCTTTCATATCTGAGTATCCTGCAGAATCTTAAAGGTGGATTCAAGAACACACAAAAGTGGTGTCATCATCATAGAAATAACCTTCAGCCACAAATATACTGCAAAAACTATAGGTAGCAGAAGGTATACGCCAAGTCACCGTAGTGTAATAAATGACTCAGATTTTAAAAAGTATATCGTGGTTCACACTTGCATAGTGTGTGCTTAGTATGAAAATGAAAAAAACCAAAACATAAACAAAAACAACCCTTATGATGATAATAAAGCTTTGTAGCATACTATGAAATTAAAGCAGAAAAAAAGTTTCTCAAGTAACTTGAGGGATTAGTCTAGATGATCTTTCGAGGTCCCTTCCAATCCCTAATATTCTTTGATTCTGTGATTCTGTAAACAACCTACAATACCAGCCACTGATGAGGTCCTATCTTAAGAGTAATGCAGAAATGAGTTATCTGTCAATGCTTTAGCCATACTCAAAGAAAAGGCTAGCTTTGGTAAAGCTAAAGGTAAGGATGTTAATATTTATTCACCTGGTATCAAAGTTCATAATCAACTCTTTTAATATGATGGTTAAGGAGATCTAAGAACAGGTACCCCAAGGAAGCAATATTAGGAAAAACTCCGTTACCTCTAGTAAAATTCTTTGTTAACATGATTCTAACACACATGAAATAACTCCATATAGAATGCAGATAAATGCTCTAAAGGAGTTATTGTAATCAACGACTTCAAGATGACATGATGACGGGAGAGTAAGAAGTGAAAGAAAGGTAACTCAAATGGGAACAATGTTTTCTTGCAGCAAATGCACTCAGTAAAACTGTCTTGTTCTCTGCAGAAAACAGCAACTGAGGCAAAGGTAATTTCAGAGTACCTTATTTTTAAAAATCACTGCTTTGTTTGGAGGCAATAGGTGGCACTCTGTAGCTACCTAGTAAAAAGGAACAGTCCAACAACAATCAGTGTTTGTGAAATGCATGTTTCTGCCTCCAGCTTTAACTACTTATCCCATTTACAATGTCTTCTGTGATAAATACGGCTGAAGGTAAGTTTGTAAGTGCTAACAAAGCATACTAGCACTTTAATTCTGTGTGTGCATGTTGTATGCATGCCCTCCTGCAGCTTTGTACCACATACAAACAGAGAAAAGCAGCAGGGGAAATCAAGCAGAAATTAGAAAGGAGTGTGAGATGAAAACATTCCTGGACTGACAGAAGACAGCAGAAGGGGGGAAAAAAAAAAAATCTAAAGAAAAGAGAACAGGATAAAGGGGACAGTGCATCTGCAAAGGAGGAAAGGGAAGGAATTAAAAAGGTAGTGAAAGAATAAAGGAAGATTCACTATAACAGAGACAGGAGAAAAGGAGCAAACAAAGTGCTGCAATCCTCACAAATTTACAGGCTCAGAAATCAATGGGAGAATCAATTTGGATGGACTTGGTTACTTGTTTCAGGGAATGCATAAGGTCATATTCTGTAAAGCACATTATAAATTGCAGGCCTAATGTAAGAGCAATTAATACTTGAAATTAATACTTGAAATTAATAAGTAGTAACAAATCAGAGTGGATAAAACTTCAACACTTAAGAAAATTTCTCCTGTCATAAAAATGTGATTAACAAAAATAAATCAAAAAAGTGAAGCATTTTTCCTCCTTAACACTTTTTTGGTTCACGTTTGTTTTATTTGTTCATTATCTTTAAAAAAGCTAAGTGTTTTGTATCTTCTACATTTGTACTGAATATTTGTTTTGATCAGTTTACTATTTTACAACAAGAAAACAACAAGACAAAAAATGTGAGCATCCCTACCATTTTTCAGTAGCTTGTGAATCTATAGTCATTATAGATCTAAGAGATTCAAAACTGGACTGATAAACGAAGGGGAAGAGCTTTCTGAAAACAAGTAATTCTTATAACAATGAACTGAAAGAAAAACCGTTTTTAATTTGCTTATTTTCTGCTGCGGGCTACATTAAAGAACACAGTCAGTTTTAGTATTCATCTCACACTGACACAGCTCTGTCTTTCTGTTTCTTTTGTACCATCTATAAAATTGGGGCATGGACAAGATTTTGTGCTTTTTGGAACACCTACAGAAATATTAAGCACACTGGGTGCTTTCATATATCAGACCCTAGAGAGTTCTTCAGTTATATACAATCAGTCAGGTATCCCAAATCAGCAGGGATTTAGAAATAGGACTTTGATCTTCCTTTGACTGCAAGTTGTGGTTTTTTGTTTGTTTTGGTGTGTGTCCTTTTTTTTTTTTTTAATGCTATTTGCTTTGCAAAGAATATTGAAATCATACATCCATTCATGCATGTGCTGATTTGGTGTTACAGTAACACACATCCTAGAAAGCCCAGAAGAATATTTATTTATATTACTGCATGGAATAGGGCAGCACCCAGGATCCATCTAAGGCACCGCACCCTCTGTGCAAAGCACTACACACACACAACGCAACAAACAACCTTCAAGCTGCATAAAGTAGCAAATAGCAGGAGGGAAAATTGAAGTAGAGAGAAAGTGTATTAATTGGTTAAAGTCACACAGTGATAGTACATCAGGGGAAAAAAAACCCAAACAAATCTGAGGGATCAAAGCACCCTT